TCTGCATCTGTGTAGATTTCAATATTTCTGTTTATTGTTTTCTGGAAAAATAGTCATTGTCCTGGAGTCTTTTTAAGGTATCTTAGGATCCGATATGCTATATTCATATGATCATTAGTAGGTTGATTCATGAATTGACTTACAATACTAACAGCAAAACTGATGTCAGGTCGAGTATGAGCGAGATAAATAAGTTTGCCTACAAGTTTTTAATATCTTTCTTTATCAACTGGCTTGCCATTGGTCTTAAAACCAACTTTTGTAGTCGTTTTCATGAGTGTTTCTGCTGGTTTACACCCAAGCATCCCTGTTTCTTTCAGTAGGTTAAGAACGTATTTCCGTTGTGACATATATTCCCTTTTTAGAACGAGCAAATTCCATTCCCAGAAAATACCTGAGTACTCCAATATCTTTTATCTCAAACTCCGTGGCAAGAAAAATTTTGAGTTTCTGAATTTCTTCTATGTTATCACCTGTTAAAATAATATCGTCAATATAAACAATTAGGATTGCTTTCTTACCTGAGGCACTGTTCTTGACAAATAAAGTATCATCAGACTGACACTGCACATACCTCATATGTTTGACTGCTTTGTTGAATATGTCATACCAAGCTTTTGGAGATTATTTTAGACCATAAAGTGCCTTTGTGAATTTGCACACCTTGTGAGATTCATATGTGGTCTCAAGGCCTGGAGGGACTTCCATATATATATATTTTTTTTTCTAAATCACCATTGAGAAATGCATTCTTTACATCAAGTTGACAGAGAGATCAATCAAGATTAGAAACAAGAGAGAGTAATACCCGAATAGTGTTGTGCTTAGTCACTGGGGCGAATGTCTCCTGATAGTCTATCCCGTGAATTGAGTGAAGTCTTTTTTAGCCACTAGACGAGGTTTGTACCGATTCACACTTCAATCAGGATTGTATTTTGTAGTGAATACCCATTTGCACCCCACTTCATGTTTTCTAGGTAGAAGTTCTGTCAATTCTCAAGTCTTGTTCGTTTCTAGAGCCCTGATCTCTTTTTGAATAGCACCTCTTCACTCTGGTAGTACAAGGGCTTCTTCAATTGTTTTAGGTTCAGTGGAGCTGCCATCAAGCTTACTTACAAATGCATGATACTTTGAAAACAAGTTGCTGAATGGAACATAATCCTGTATAGGGTGTTTAGTACAAGATCGAGTTCCTTTTCTCAAGGTAATAGGTAACTCAGTATCATGGTCTGTAATAGTAACAATATCAGAAATTGTGTCTGAAAACTCATTACCTGATGTGTTCTTATTGCTCGGAACTGGAATAGACTCATGCCAATGTGTAGCTGGTTCAGAATCTTTATCAACTGGAGTTTTGTTTCTCCTAATATAGACATGTAACTCTTTATTGATAGTAGTAGGTACAGGTTCAAGTTCAGACTCTTTGATACTGGTTTCAGGAAAATTTGATGAAGACTCAGGAATAGACTGGGGAAGAGAGGTGAGAGGTGGTGTACTTATATCGCATACTTGATATTGCTGATTAATACTGTCCTCCAGAAGATCAGTAGTGAGATAAAATGACTGGTTTTCAAAGAAAGTAACATCCATAGTGTTGTAGAAATGACAGGTCCTGGGACAAAAACATTTGTATCCTTTTTGATTTGGTAAATATCCAACAAAAACACATTTAATGGCCATTGGGTCAAGTTTACTCATGAGGTGAGTATGAACATGAACATAGGTTGAACAACCAAAAACTTTGTAGGGAAGGGTATGAAGGATATGAGATTGTGGAAAGGCCTTTAAGAGTGTATCATAGGGTGTTCGAAATGCGAGAGTTCGAGAGGGCATGCGGTTTATCAAGTATGCAGCGGTGAGAACAGCCTCTCCCCAAAGGAATTTTGGAACATGGGTAATGAACATGATTGATCGGGGTACTTCAAGAATGTGTCTATTTTTTTGTTCGGCTACGCCATTTTGTTGTGGGGTATTAGCACAGGAACCTTGATGAATAATGTCGTGGTCAGAAAAATATTGTTTTAAAGTGGTTTTAAAATATTCATACCCATTGTCTGATCTCAATACTTGAATTTTAATGTGAAATTGATTTTGAATCATAGTGTGAAATTTTTGAAAAATTTAGCCAACTTCAGATTTTTTGTTCATGAGAAAGATTCAAGTGATTCTAATGTGGTTATCAACAAAGGATACAAATCATTTTGTCCCGGTGATATTAATAACCCGAGAGGGACCCTATACATCACTATGGATTAATGACAAAGGTTCTGTGGGTTTGTAAACTGAACTGGGAAATAAATTTCAAATATGTTTGGACAGTTGACATACTTCGCACTGAAAGGAAACTGGATTTTTATTTCGAAATAAAGTAGGAAATAGCTTTTTCAAGTATAAGAAATTAGGATGTCCTAAACGGTAATGCCATAACATGATAGGGCATTCCCTATTTAAATTGTTTATAGATTCAGAATTAGTAGATACTGCATGATGAGTTTGTCTACTAAGAGAAAAGTTGTCAACTTGCAGTAGATAAAGTCCTGAATCCATACTAGCATTGTCAATCGTCTTTCCCGAGTTCAAGTCCTGAAATTCACACAGTTTAGAGTTAAATGTAGCTACAAATTCAAGTCCTGTGATAGTTTGCTTATTGACAGGAGATTGCAATCCAAATTTGGAACGTATAGCACATAATACAAAATTAGCTTGGGTGACAGTGCAATTATTCCTATTTCTTCGACTTGGGAACTGGAGCCATCAACAATATTAATTGAGAAGTCACCACATGCTCCTTTTTGAGGAATAAGTTGAGAGACCAGAAAAATTACCTTTATGAGTTGTGGAAGCATTACCAAGAACCATATTGGAAGAAAACATTTTCTGAAGGAGGCTGATATGTTCAGGACTAAATAGAGGACTTTCGGTAGGAACAACTGCAGCTGATTCCTCCTCAGTTGAGATAAAATTGCCCCGATGAATCTCCTACTTTGGTGACTTCTTTTCAGCTGGCTTCCCGTGAAGTTTCTAGCATCTTCCACGAATGTCCCCAGGTTTTTGACGGTATTTGCATCATGGCCGTCCCTTCCGCTCAGTCATCCGACTTGTGAGAGCTACACCAGCCTCGGGTAGAGAGAACTGCTTTCAGCAAGGTTAGGGCTGAGTTGCGATTCACTCATCATCACCTTCTTCCTGCTTTCTTCGCGTCGCACTTCAAAGAACACCTCTTTGATGTTCGAGAGAGGTTTGGTTCCAAGGATGTGTTCTCTTACCTCGTCGAAGTATTTGTTTAATCCAAAGAGAAATTTGAATATTCGTTTCTATTCCACGATGCTTCGGAATCTCCTGGCGTCATCGGGACAGCTCCAAGCATGTTCCTCAAAAGCGTCAAGTTGCTGTCATTTTCGAGTAAGAAAATTGTAATATTGAGTTACCATCTTTTTTCCTTAGTGTAGGTCGTGACAACTTGCTTCGACTTCGAATATGGCGGAAATGTTGTCACGAGTGGAGTAGAACTCACGAATTGTGACCCAGATAACATGCGCAGTCTCATAAAGGAGAAATTTTTTTTCAATTTCGGTGGTCATTGAGTTCACCAACGAAGACATAACAAGATTGTTCTCTACTTTCCATACCCGAGCATTTGGATCATTCGCGGGAGGTGGTGAGAGCTCTCCAGTGAGGTATTCGTCCCGGCTTTTCCTTAGGATGAACATTAACACCTAGGACGACCATTGTAGATAGTTACTATCATTTAGTCGATGGCCAATAACCAAAGAAGGAGCCGAATCAGTGAGAGTATGGTTGTCAGGCACCGGAAGATAGGAGCCCGAAAGGACTTCGGGCGGAGAAGAAATATGTTCATCCATTGCCTATTGAATGCAAGAGGGATGCTGAAGATTTGGATCAGGTTTGCTCTGATTTCATGAAAATTTTGAGAGTAGGAAAAACTCCTTTTTTTATCTTATTTCATCAATGGTTTTGTGCCTCATTTTATAGGTAAAATAGAAAGAAAAAAAACAAAACAAATTAACAACTTTCCATACTAAATGACAGCTAACATTCTGTTATGGATGCTTGGTTGTCTAATAAGAATAAAATAACAATGAGCAGTAACAAATGTAACTTATTTCTAATATTTCTACAACTCGCTATCAGATAACAATGCTAGGTCTTTTTAATGAAAAGAAAAAACGTTGAATCTCTAAATTATTGATGAAAGATATTTCTTTGGGTGAAGAAAGTAGAAACATTTCAAAGCTCCACAATGCTGATCTTTTGGATTGTTATTTCAGGGGGAGGTTAATTGCGTAAAATGGGATCCAACAGGTTCCTTGTTGGCCTCATGTTCGGATGATATCACTGCAAAGGTTATAATGGGCTGTCTTTGCATTTTGTCTTACCTGATCTTAATCCTTGAGATCTAAATGAATGTTGGTTTATAATGAGATCTGCTTATCCGTCTCTACTTATTTTTCTTTTTTTTTTTCAATATATTTTTCACTTTGTTCTTTCTTTGAGTTGCCAATTCATATAAAATCATGGTTCAGATATGGAGTATGAAGCAGGACAAGTATGTTCATGACTTGAGAGAGCATGTAAAGGTGCTTAAGATTTTCCTTGCCCAATTCTGGTTTAATTGTTTATTTTTATCTCAGCATTTAACAACCATTGGATGGTTGTGTTCCAGGAGATATATACCATCAGATGGAGCCCCACTGGACATGGGACAAACAATCCTAATCAGCAGTTGGTTCTTGCTAGGTAAAATATGTGCTGCTTTGATCAAAATGAATTCACATTGCACCTGTTTATATATTTTTATTATGGACATCATTTTGAAATTTGAACGTTGGTGTCCCTTGCTAATTTAAGAAAAAACTGAAAAGTTTGTTCTCTGCATTGAACGCAACCCCAAACATTTACCATGTGAATCATGTCGTGGAACTGAACCCATTGTTTGCACTTATATTCAGCTTAAAATTGTTTGGCAATGTGAATGCCATCTTATTCTTTAGGGGCTATAGAATGTAGTAGTCATTTCAAGCCTACATGATTTTAGGATAGTTGGGAATGTGAAAGTCACTATTATGATCATGTCTTATATTTTGTTAGGTCATGACATTAATAATTGAGAAGATATTAGTTTAGTCATTGACCACTTGATAGATATGTAACTATTTTGTATACGGGCAGTACTCTCTTGGTACTTTTGTGCATAATAATACTTTATTTTTATTTTTTTTAAAAAAGATCCTGTCCTCTATCTTGCTTTTGTCTTGGCTATGCTGGTATAACAAATGCAGCTAAGGTGTTTTAGTTTCCTCTTTTAGGTTTGTGAGAGTCAAGGGAACAGAGGCATCTTGGCTGAACATTAATATCTGTATTTACCACATCCTTAAATATAAAAGACACATGCAGGGCAGATATGTTACGCAAGTAGTATACTTTAATTTTTTTTATGGATCTGTAGTTGTTCTTATGTTATGTGCTTTTGGTTTTATGCAGTGCATCATTTGACTCCACTGTGAAGCTATGGGATGTGGAACTGGGGAAACTTCTTTACAGCTTAAATGGACACAGGTATAGGAACTTATCTCTGAGCAGTTTTATGACTACGAAAAAAGAAATTATTGTGAAAATTGATTATGGAATGAGCCCTAAGCAGATTTGGTCATGAAATTTGATCAAACTTATCCCATAGTCTTACTCAGCATCTTTGTGATTGTTTCCTAAGGCTGTCTCTGGAACAAATGAGCTTTATCATTTGGAAACTTACCTGCCTTTCAAAATGATAAAAAAATTGTTTAGAAGTTTTTATTCATTTCATAAAGGATTGGCATATCGTATGTTAACATAAGTGTGAATTTTCAAATGGATTCCCACAGATAAAGTTACATTTCTTCTATTCATAGCAAAAGTTCTTTGCTTGATCCTTATTGCTTTTCTATTGTCAAACTAAACTGGTTACTTAATCCTTATTTTCTCGCTGTTTTATTATCAAACTAAACTGGTTTTGGGATTGTCATCAGTGATTTTTTTTTTGGTTTATCTAAGTTTCATACTATGTGGTTTTGATGTTTTTTCAGATTTAATGTGTTTTAGTTTTAGTAGTTTCAGTATTTGCAGTTTATATTGAGCAGTTTCAGTAATATAATATTGCTAGTGGAACATGTGAATGATATTAAGATTTGAAAAGATGTATAGTCAACTCAAATTAAACTATCCGAAACTAGAAAAAAATCCAAATTTTGTATAGTTGTAATACGCACGAACCTTTCCAAAATTTATCCACTCTAGTTTTTTTTTTTTTTTTTTAAATGTATTTTAATATTTGTTATTTATTTTTTTTTAGAAAATATTTTTAAATGTTAGTTTTTCAGTTCTAGAAAGTCAAACACGAGCAATCCATATGTCAGATTTTTTTAAATTTTAGACTGTTTGTGTTCAAACTGATGGTATTATATTGCATGGCTAATGATTAAATTATCAGTGGTAATTGCTAAAGATAAACCAATCTATTAAATCTTAAAAAAAAAATCCAAGCAACTGGATACCAAACTGTAATTTATCCTAAAAGTTTGTTCTTAGTTTATGGTAGTTCAAACCTTGATTGTTGTTAACAATTGTTTTTATTAAATAACCAGGGACCCTGTATACTCTGTTGCATTTAGCCCTAATGGAGAGTACCTGGCTAGTGGATCTCTGGATAGATCGATGCACGTCTGGTCATTGAAGGAAGGGAAGATTGTCAAGACCTACACCGGTAATGGGGGAATATTTGAAGTCTGTTGGAACAAGGAAGGTGATAAGATTGCTGCGTGTTTTGCAAACAATACAGTTTGTGTTTTGGACTTCAGAGTGTAAGGACTGAGAAATTCCTAAATGATATAAATATGACTAAGATTACTTACCCAAGCTTTTGGAAAATATTGAAGCTGCTAGTTTTTCCTGAAAACTAGACACGCCTCACTGGCATAGAGAAATATGTCATTTATTGAGTAGGTTTGAGATTTTCATAACTGTAGCATTACCTGCTAATTTCATTATTATTATGTGGAAGGTTCTTTCTTACAGCCGTTGTAAGCTTTTCCAGGAAGGCTCTTATTCTTTAGGAGGTATTTTGGTAGAGGAATTGGAGTCCTGACTTATTTGCAATTACCCTTAACCAATGACTTGTTTCACTGTTTGCCTCCAGTGACTGCTTTACAGGAATATGAATATTCAGCAAAGAATTCAATGAGCTACACTTAGAACAATGATCTTTTGGTGTATTTCTTCTATAAACATAAGGTTTATCTATCCATCTAGAAGTGATGCTGAAAGGGATCTGGTCCCAACAGGATCCACAACTCACAGTATATAGGGATTCACCAGTCATCTCCACAAGATCATGACCCGTTCTTAAAGTGGTGAAACCAATTACGGTCTGTCATAACAATTTTCCGTCCACTGATCTTCGAGATCAACTTGGTCACAGCATGGAAATCTGCACAAAGCGGAGATTCTTTACAATCTTTGTTGTTGTGCCTGGTTAAGTACTAATAAGCCCGAAAGCAATTGGGAACTTCTCACTATGAACTCAAGTGATTGTTCGTTCTTCTCTTCTCAATATCATGCGGTATAGTAATCTGTTTGTGGAACTTAGCATGGACTTTAAGCCAACCATTGATCTCCTCCAATATTTTGTATATCTCTTTACTTTTAGGGTGTCTCAAAATCTCCCTGCCAAGAA